CAGGCTAGCTTTGAATCAGGATCCTCAGATCTTCAGCCTCTTGAGTAGCTAGGATTACAAGCGTGAGCCACCAGGCCTGGTGAAAGGCACCGCCTAAAGTTCCAGCAGTTTGGAAAGTGCTCCTACAGAGGAATTTTTTATTTTTATTTTTTGGCTAGTCCTGGGGCTGGAACTCAGGGCCTTGGCACTGTCCTGAACTGCTTTTGCTCAAGGCTAGCACTCTGCCACTTGAGCCACAGCGCCACTTCCGGCTTGTTCTGTGTGTGTGGTGCTGAAGAATCGAACCCAGGGCTTCATGCATGCTAGGCAAGCGCTCTACCACTGAGCTACCTTCCCAGCCCTGGAGTTTTATTTTCGATCTACCCTCTCCACTTGCACCCGCGGTGGACCCTATCATCTGGCTTCTCCTTCACGTGCTGACAACTGTATCTGGGACACTAAGATGTGAGCCCACATCAACAGGTCCACCCCTCCGCCCCTCTCTTTGGCGGGAGTGCTCTTCTGCAGGGGCGGCGTCGGGCCCTGACCGCGGGGTTCCCTCTGGTGGCCGTGGGACGCAACTGCAACTACCGCGAGGGAGGCGCGGGTTGCCATAGCGCCCCCTGGCGTTCGCCTCGGCCGCGCTCTGCGGGCCAAGACACCCGATGGGTCGGAGCATGGAGGTGCTGTGCGGAGTGCACTGGTGGGGCGCGGGGCTTTCGTCTGCGTGTGGGTCGGCTTGGTTCCTATCTGCCGTGCCCGGTGCTCGAACCTGGCGCATCCGTCGTGTTCAGGGCGCGCCGTGGGCCGCGCGCTCTCCGGAGGGGAGCTGGGTGGTAGGGCAGGGCGGAGTCCTCACGGAGGCGTGAAATTGGTTTGGAGCAAACACATTACGGAAAGCAATTACCGGGGAGAGGCTCTGGGCCCGCGGGACCCTCAGCCAGGAGGCTGGCTTGCAAGTGTCTGGCTGTCTCACCCCACACACGACTCTCCACTGTCCCCTCTCTAGGGGGCAGCACGTGAAGCGGCATGGCCTCCCTGGGCTCTCAGCCCCGCCCTGCCCTCCCTCCCTCCGCCCAAGGGCACCCCCCCACGACACTCCCCAGCTATGGGAGAAGCTCCTCCTCTCCCAGCCTTCTCCGTGAGAGGCCTCCCCAGATCTCTGCCTCATTCCTCACCTGCCTCCCCTTCCCCTTCCTGCCCTCAGCCCTGGCTCTGTTCCTTTGCCTTCGTTCCACTGGGCCTTGTAGTCGAAGCAGCTCACGCTTGTGTTTTAGACTACATTGAAAATCCACGCAGGACGGGAACATGTCTCAACTTGGGGCTCCAAAGCACCTAATGAACAGAGTAGGTGGGGTCCATTAGAACTTCCCTCAAAGTGTACACCTGGGATTCTCGAGTCCCCCGAGAGCCAGTGTCAGAGCCAGTGTCTGCAGTCATCTTCTGCATGCAGCCATCCCTGCAGACTTCTTCATCCACCTGGCCTCGGAGCTCGGCCTCTTTTCCGTGCCAGTCCCCAGCTGCGCCGTATCTTGCCTAGACTGCGGCGGCAGGCCCCCCCCGATTCTCCATGACCTCTCTTCTTTATGGCCACTCGCAGCAGCCCAAGGCAGCTTCTAAGACCTACAGCAGCAGCTCACGTGGCTCGCCTGCCCTTCCCCCACCGTCTGCACAAGGCAGCCTGCCTGTCACTCAGATGTCAGTGTCACCTCCCAGAGGTTTCCCACATCACCTCACTCTCTTGTATTCATACTATGTGATCAGCACTTAGCACCCTGCAGTACTTGCTCCTGGTGGTAGGGTGCTTCGCCTCCCGCCAAGCGCTAGGAGGAGTGGAGGGCAAGGCGTGGGGTCCCCTCCAGCCCTGTGCCGGTGGGGGTGTGGCTCCAACACTTGAGGCACCATAACCGAAACACCGGGACATTCTCCAGGACTCCTAACCCTATCCTGGGATCTCAAAGAGGCCCGAGCAGGCCCTGTCCCTGAGTGACCGTCTGATGACGGCCCATCCCCTCCCCGCAATCTGGGGAAACCACTCCGGGGGTTGAACTCAGGCCTGATGCTGTCCCTGGGACTCTTTTTGCTCAAGGTTAGCCTCTACCACTTGAGCCACAGCACCAGCTCAGGCTTTTCTGTGTATGTGGTACTGAGAATTGAACCCAGGGCTTTATGCATGCTAGACAAGCACTTAACCACTAAGCCACATTCCCAGCCGGGAAACCACTTTCTGACCCTGATCTTAGCCCGGGAAGTGCAGCCTGCAGGAGCTGGAGTTTTCACAGCTAGCGGTTCCAACAAACTGTGGACCCTAGTGTCTGCCTAGGGGCTTCCTGCCGGCCTTCGAACCGTGCTCCCCTCTCCTGAAGCCCAGGCAGGCAGGTGGGTGGAGGCTCGCTTACTCCTGCCCAGTGACCCAGTTTGGTGCTCAGACACTTCCAGCAACTCTTTATGCAGTCTCAGGCCTGGTCCCGCCCCGCCCAGGCCCCGCCCCTCAGACCCCGCCCGTCGGAACCGCCCCCTCAGGCCCCGCCCGCCCAGGCCCCGCCCCTCATGGCCCCGCCCCCTGCTCCGGCCCCGCCCCCACAGCCTCCTTCCCAGCAGTTGGCTGGGAGCCGTTCTTGGATGGCAGGGGTCAGAGTGCATTTGATTGATCGCCCTGTGGTTGGGGACCAGCGCCTGCGCCCCGCGCCCCCGGCAGCAGCTTCTTCAATCCCCGTGGTGCGGTGCGGCTGCCCCCAGGGTACTTCTTTCTCTCCTTTCGTAGACGTGCAAACTTGAATCCGGCGAGGAGACACAGGTTTCGTACCCGGTAACGGTGGGGTTCAGAGCGGTCCTGTAACCGTTCCTGACACCTTACAACCACAAGCCCGGGTTGGAGGAGCGGAGAACGGGCGCGGGGAGGCGCGGAGGCCACGCCTGTGACCCCAGCGACTGAGGGCTGAGGGCTGAGGGTGGGAAGCCAGCCCGGGCAGGAACGTCCATGAGAATCTTCCCCAACTAATCACAGAAAGAGCCAGAAGTGGAGCTGTGGCTCAAGTAGCAGAGCACTAGCCTTGAGGGAAGCAGCCCAGGGACAGCGCCAGGCTCAGAGTTCAAGCCCCAGGAGGAGCAAAAACAAGTGGCCGGGCCCAGTGTGCACCCCGGGCCGGCTGACCTTCCGGGCAGACAGAACCGGCTCTGCTCCTCAGCCTGGGCCTTCTTCTCAGCAAAGGATTCGCTTCCAC